CCCAAACACCACCAAGATTTTTCATACAAGGGCACCACTTGCCAGTTATCTTGTATAATAACGCTCTTGGCTTGCATACCAAATGTCTCTTTAGAAAAGTTCTGAAAAGCAAATAATGTTGACCTCTAGACAAACTGCTTCATAGCCATATCTCTTCAACAAAAATTTTGTTTTTTGTTTAGTCAGATTTTTGGTTTAAATGATTGTCAGGAAAAGTTTTTCATAATCTCTTATTTCAAATTATTAATTATTTTATTTTAGAAAATATTTTAAATGCCAATCTTGAACTTGCTTTTTATAAACTAAATTATTTAATACATACAATTTCATCTCACTCTTCTTTTTCTCTTCACCCTATCCATACTCTCTTTACTTTACTTTTAAAGGTCTTATTTCTTTTTTGCTTATCCAATGTATATTACCATTTAACCTATCTTATTCAATAGCTTTACAGCTAATTATCAAAATCCTCATCAAAATTTCTAATCAAATTTATAAACAAATATGGAAATTATATTGTATTAACTTTTTTATTTGGAAAAAAGCATACTAAATATTATCAAATTCTACTTCTACTCAAGTTGGCTAATAACTTTTACTTATCTTTATACTAAAACTTATAACACTTTTACTTATAACTATCTATATAATTTATCTGATTAACTATATTCTAATTCTTTTTCTTGCCCAGCTGGGCTTACTAAGTATAAATTTAATATTTGGTCTACCTTGTAAATCTAGTTCAGTATTTCTACAAATCATATTTTAACTATTCAAATCTAGATGAGTTTTGCCTACTCTAATAGGTTTAGATTACAGATAAATAATTAGTCTAAGCTTTTATTCTTGAATGTAGTTTATTTTATTCATTTATATATGAATTAAGTCTTCATTTAGTTTTGTTTTTTTATGATTACTTATATAAATTACTTAATAAAGATATAAGCAAGGCTTTATCTTTTAATATTAAAAAAAATAAAAATAAAAATTATATTAAAAACTAGTAAATCATACAAATAAAAAACTCAAAAAATTTTTAATTATTTCAAAAAGTACTATATAGAATTTTATAATTTTTTTTTTATTTAAAAGCTTTAAATTTAAAAAATATTTTATATAATTTTTAGCTTTATATCTGGTTTATTTAGCTTAATATAAAATTTTAAAAAGTGTTTACAATAATATAGTAGGCTACTATAGTGTTGTAAAACAGGTTTTTATAATATAAAGTAGTTTAGTATAGTTTATAGACTGTTGCTAACTTGCCCCCTAGGTGAAATCACCTATATATATATAATATTATATAAATACATATATATATACTGTATATATATATTATATAAATAACATATATACTGTATATTTTATAAGTTAATATGTATTATTTGTTGTCTGTTTACTAGGGTTTGGGGCATGGAGGTATAATTATTATTATTCATATAGGCACAGGAAAGTGATACTAAAACATTACATAGAAATAAACAGTAGCATGTGACATGTTATTAATTATTTTCACGTGATGATTTAGTGTCACATCTCATGCCCAATATGATGATTTTCCACCTTACTATTTACCCATATGATCATATCCGCATGACCTGCCCACGTGAGTAATTGACTAGTTTTTTTTTAATTCGCTTTGGATTTACAACAGCACCTGTTTTCCTAGTTATACTATACATACATATGTACAAGTACTATAGCTAATATCGAATGTTCCCAAAGTTCCCATATATGATCTCTGTATAAATAATCACCGTGATCTCTATATGTAAGATTACTTTAAAAAATTATAACTATGTATAAGAACTTTGGAATACCTGGTAGGTAGCACTACATGATAATATAATTAGGCAGTTGCTACAAACAAGTTTGCTAGAGCAGCCTTTTCAATGTTTGCAAATAATTAACATTATTGTTATAGCTGCCACAACGTATAATTAATTATAATATTAAACGTTGGGGCCACTCTAGTAAATAGCAGTTTCATAATCATAAACACTTAGCATTAGTATAATCAATCTTTTTATATGTAACATACAAAAGATCCCAAAATTCTGGGTCAGAATAATAATAAAACTATAGTTGTTCATTAAGTAAAGTGCTTAGCTAATAATACTATTGATATAGTACCCATTAATTAGTCTAGCCCTAACCCGAAAATTTGAGTGACGAAAAGGGAAAACCTGTAAATCATTATATCACAGAAATGGTTTTACAGGTTTTTGGTATTCTATATATGCATATTCTAGTGTATTATTTTTAGTATGCACTTACGTACGTATGTATAAAAATTTACTATAAAGTATACTTATATATATATCTTACTATGCATATACAGTCTAATTGAATATGATATATGTATAAGTATACTAACTTTTATATTTGATTATATATACAAACCTTCGATATAAAGTCAAAGTCTAGTTCAGTAATACATATACTGTAATACTATAGAATATATCTAAAATTTTCATAAACTAGTAGGCATGACAAAGCATGACAAGCAATTAAATTTTAACTATACTAACCTATATATTATATTTAAATGTTCTCTAAACCTCTAATATACTTGCCTTCATTTACACTTCATTATAATCATAATACATTCTTACATCTATTGTTACACTACTTAATTTGGGCATCGTGAAGCATAATGGCCAGTTTGCCTACATTTTTGGCAATGCCTTCCCCTCTTTTTATTTCCAGTTGTCTTTTTCGGTAATTTACTACCAGACTTGTATCTTTTAGGTTGTCAACCTTTGTGTTGTACTCGCAATGAATCTTTAATACTAATATCTTCAACATTTGTCGAATTGACATGTTAGACATATCTCTCTTAGTTTTTTCAATAAAACGTTCTATCTCATTAACAAAATCATCAACTTTATTAGTATAGACAGCCAAGTCTAGTGCCTTTTTGGCATATCCCATACCAAGTCCATATTATTGTTTAGGGTCATGCGACTGTACAACATTAGGGGTTTGCTTAAACCTTACAAGGTGCTGAAATGATAATGGTTGAGGTAACTCATTTGACTTAATTTTTTTAATTTGATACATCGGCATAAATGCTTCATCTTTATTAATTTTACTATTACTGTACCAGCGTTTAGGAATAAGTGTAATATGAAATCGTGCATTAGTGGAATAGGATATAATCCGAAAGAAATATCTACACACGAGACCATGATTGACAAGCCAAAGACATATGCACAAGTGTGAGTTGTCATTGAGTATGATAATATATTGCGGATCTGTTTGCTGTTTTCTATGTTTAGTAATTTTCCAAACTTCTTGAACATATTCTTGAGGTATATCTTCGAGCAAAGAAAAAAATAAAGACTGAGGCTGATCATAGTCATCTTCTCTAGCCATTTCTTCTTGGTAAGAGTCATCTGTTGTCTAAAGCAAAAAAAAAAAATTGTAATAATAGGTTCAAACTTTTCAATTCTAACTTTAATCTAATATTCTTACCTCTAGAAGTGCTAATCAATTATTAACTAATACAGCATCATAGCACATTGACTGTTCCATTTGATCTCGCTGTTTCTGAAGTATTTGTGGCATAAAACGTTCTTTCAACATCTTATCCAACTCAGGGAAGTATTCTTCCATTATAGTCGGTATACCTTTTGTTGGTATTTCATTTTTGCACTTAGCTAATACTACTTTTTTTGATTGTTGATCAAATATTGTTTGAATTTCTCCAATAATATCTGTTAGCCGTGAAGTTCTACTGAGTTTATCTTTGATAATTTTATTGGTTACTTCGGCTTGCTAGGTACTTTAAATTCCTGTGGTAAAATATCGATTTATGGTATAACTCACCCAACTCATCTTGCAGGGGTATAAAACATTTATAAAGTAATTTTTACATGCTGGATATTCATTAATAAGATTTTCCCATTTTGATTTAAATTTCCTATGGCAGAAAGTATTACGCATCTCCAAAAACTTAGTATGAAAAGAGCTGAATTGTTCATGTAATGTACTTTTAAGCTTCTTTCTTAAATTTAAATCAATATGAAAGATACAATGGAGATGTTGTGTATCTGAATAGTTCTTTCGCATAGCTGATAGTAAAGCAAGATCAGCATCAGAATATAGCACCATAGATGCAATTTCACACGAATTTTTTAGCTCTTGCAAAACCCAGATAAATGTTGATTCAGTTTCGTTCTCAATAAGTGCTAACGCTACAATCATATTTTTGAAATTGTTATCAACCACTATGAATAACATCAATATTATGTCAAACTGGTTGGTTTTAGAAGTTGTGTCTACAACTACAACATCATAATATCGCCCATAAGCACTAATTTGATCAGGAGCCATCCAGAACAATGAGTTAAGTTGCTTTTCCTCTGCATCAAAACTGTGGTTTAACTATCCATATTAGATCTTTTTCTTTTTTTAAATATAATTCATTAAGCATTTTACATGCATCATTTTTACTAGGTTTCATCTGACTTTTAAACTGTTGAATTGCATTACTTAAATCCTTCTTATTAATAACTTGGTCTGGAAATAACGTAGCTAACAAAATTATATTGGGTTGGTAAGCCTAATTTTCCATGAATAGTCCAAAATTTGACTTTTTCAAATATTTCATATGTTAGCTTTTGATATTTTGGTACTGTCTCAGTAACAAGCACATTCATTTTGTGATTGTGCTTCCCTAAAATACTATTAATATGAACATCTTTTTCTGTTTTAGGAAATGCCAAATTAATGTGCCAAGGACAATTGATCATTTCAGAATCTCTGTCTCTCCTATATTCTGCCAAAACAGCCTTTTCAAGTTCACATATTTAAGTATGTGAACATTCATATGTTCGCCGTCTTGTTATGGTGTGGTCATCAGAGTCAACAACCTGTCTTCTCTTTTGAAAGCTAAACTCCTCTTGCTTCGCATAATCGGTAAGGTATGATTTGGCAAGTTTCTATGTATTAAACTTCATTCCTTCATAAAGTGCTAATAAATTATTTTTTCTTTCTTCCTCATTTTCACTATATTCGTGTTCACTATCTTCATACTCATTATCTTCATACTCATTATCTTCATACTCATTATCTTTATACTCATTATCTTCATACTTATTATCTTCTCTCTCATTATAAAATATCATTATTCACACCTTCTGATTGAGCCTTAACATCCGATCTAGCCAACATATCACTAAAGCTTTGGATATTAATATAAGTTGACCTAACATTATCATATTTATAAGGGCCAGGATAATGTAACGGTAAAGTATTTACATTATTATAGTGCTCATAGACATTTGGATAAAACGATGAAGTGTTTGCAATATTATATTCATAGCTAAAATAAAGTAAGAAGGCATTTGCATTATCAAGTTTATATGTATTAAAACAAGGTGGTGAAAAATCAGATGTAGTATTCTGTTCATTGATGTTAAACTGAGAGGACGATGAGCCATTTATTTAATCATAATTATAGGTATTGAAATTAGATAACGACGATGATGTATTCGACGTTTGGCCTATGTCAAAATAAAGAACTGATGAAATATAATAGAACTTCTTGGGCTTTATGGTAAATTAATAGCATGTGAACTTAGGTAGTTAGGTTTTAAAAAATCATGGTTAGTTAAATTCAAAAAAGTGTATTTGAATGTAAAGAAAGAGAGCGTGATTAGATATAAAAAAAAGAGAGCGTGATTAGATGTAAAAAAAAATAAATAAATTTGATAGACTATCAAATTAAATATATAGGTTATATCATCTAGGTGAAATCACTCCCAGTTAAAATTAGTTAAATATATAGGTAATATCACCTAGGTGAAATCACTCCTGGTTAAAGTTAGTTATAGACTAGTTTATATATATATATTTTTTTGGCAATCTGCCTTTATTGTATATAAGGAATGTATAATTAAAATACATAAGTTTCTAGCTAATGCTAACAACTCTTCCTTCTCTTTAATAAAAGCTCACCTAGCTGCTCTGAGGTGCCCAGATGTGATTTGTCATAGCAATTCTTTTCCTCTTTTCTGGCTTTTAATTTGCTAAAAGATTACTATTAAATCCTTAGACAGTAGTTGCTAGCCTTGTCAGGACTGCATTTAAGTTTTGTAACTATGTAGTTTGTAATGCCTGACTACTTCAGTTTGATATTAGTTGTTATTACTCTTCTTATTTCTTTCTTTGTCTTCTCCCACAATTTTCAAACTGTTTCTTCTACTAAAATTTTTTTTACCCTTGCTTCTTGAGTTTTTCTCTTTTTGGTTTTCTTGTATGTAGGATCATTTCTCTCATTATGCCTCCTTTTTTTGCATTTGTAATATCTCTTCTTTGCTTCTATTTATTTATAGTTTCATATCTTAGTCACCAAATCACCTTTTGAAAGTGTTTTCATAGCTTGTAGTTGTAACTCAATTAGAGCTCTCTTTGTAGTTTATTCTCGTTTTAAAGCATCTAAAAGATTCCTTTAATGCAGTTAACTCTGTTTTTATATTTAATTTTTTGAGTATCTCCTATTATTTCTTCTTTTGAAATGCTATATATCTTTTCTTTGCTTTTTTCTGTCCTTCTTTTAATTTTTTCTTTTTAGCTTCCTTGAACACTTCACACTCTATCCTGCTCTATAATTTTTTATATATTTTGCATATGGCTAAATGATCTAAATCTTCTTTTTTCCTGAAACATGTGATATAAAAATTTATCGAGTAGAGGTTTGGATTTTTTCTGTGAAGTACCTTTAAAGTTAACAATAACTTGTTTATACATTTTATGTTAAAAATTCAACTATGACTATTCTTTAAACTTCTGCATTTATGCCCTGCCTTTTTTCTTTGCATTCCTCATATTTCTTTTCAGTTTAACCACTTCTTTTCTGTACTACTTCTAATTAGACTATCTATATATTTGCTATTTATCCAACCTATACTATAATACATTTTCATTATGCTATTTATTATTTTTCTAATTGGTATATTAATAATGTGACTATCCCACCTCGGCAGTACCTTTACTATTTTGGACCATTTTACTCTAAAACTACAACACACTTTTGTGTTGTTTCTCTCTTTTGCTAGCTTATCAGCTGTTTTATTTAATTTAACCCCACTATAACCTTTTACTTTTATAAAACTAAGATTAGTATACTTTATCTTAACCAAATTTATTACCATTGCAACAATACTTCTATTTTTGAGCTTGGTGATTCTTGCATTATTTGAACTAGCTTTTACTTTTTCAATAATACTGATTGCATTTGCACTATCTGTAAATATTTGTACTCTGCATTTGTTCGGTACTGCTAATAATGCATACTCTATAGCATCTAATTCTGCTCTAGTTAAAGAAGACCAATTCTTTATCGCACCTGAAAAATGCTTTAGTATTGTTTCTGTGTCCTTTTTAGCTACAACCCAACCTATACCCATTTTTCTTGGCTTTCTATTTCCACTATTCTCATCTAAAAAGCCATCTGTAAAAAATATCCAAATCTATATTGCCCACCAGTTTCTGGAAAACCTTCTGGGTTTTTTCTCTATACTTCTACTCTACTATATATTTGTTAATTAGGTCTTCTTCTAAGTTTTTGATCCTTACTGTAGAGCTTGGCATTGTGGTAGAAATATCTGCTTGTATGTTTGTTCTTCTGCTAAAATTTGCTAATAGCACCTTGCAAAAGATTTTGTTTTCTTACTGCTTTTTGATACAGTTTTTTTTTAGCACTCTTTGCTTATTCTTTAGATTCATCCCTATTTTGTATTCATTGGACTCCAGCATGTTAGATAAAATGCAGCCTTAATATTTGTCATATATGTCTTCAATTTTTTTTTTTTTTTCAATATATTACTTCTATCTTTTGATTACTTTTGCTTTTTTTAAACACCTGATCCAAATCAGTTGTATTCTTTTTATTCACTAGTACAACTCATTTAGCTTTTTTTTATCTTTGGATATATATTGAAATAGTGGCAATAAGACTACTTTTTGTATCTGTATCTTGCATGCATCTCTCTTGTTATTTGGTTGTTAATTACTGCATACTCAATACTGTTAAACCATAAAAGCTTCTTTTTTTTGCTTTTGTTTCCTCTTAGGAATTTCACTTGGCGCCATATTAAAAGTGTGACTCTCTTTTCTTCAAGCAATTGTTCTATAAATATAAATATAATATTGTTCAATTTGCTTTTAATATATTGTTTTCTTTTACTCTTGCTTAAAACAAACCATATCTCTGTTCCTGCTCCTAGCACATACTCTTTGCCACTTTATTGCATTCCAGTTTTATGCCTATTTGTAGCTTCTTTAACTATATTTGTATTAAAATTGTGCCTTATTTCTACTTCATTTAGCTGTTGAGCAGACCACTCAATTATGCACCTGCTGCACTTATTATCAATCTGCACTTGCCTTAGTTTAATTCAGGTTATACTCCCTACTGACTCTATACTGTTTAGTTTCTTAACTAAGCTAGCTACTTGTTATGCCAACTTTGCTTGTCACATGCCTTTAACCTTTACCAAATTCAGATGCATGATGATGCTGTTTGCTGTAGTACTTGCTAAATCTGCTTTTTGCTTTAGTAAGTTAAAAAAGAGTCTATAAATTCTGTTATAGGCTTGTTTGCTTAACACTTGGCACTTAAGTTAATATTCTAGTTTTGATAATAGTATCCTATTGTTTATGTATTGCAAGTGCTTTAAGGATACCTTCTTTTTTCTTAAAATTCTTACTATTTCTGCAACCTCTTTTTTTACTAGGCCTGTTTTACAGTTTCTTTTATTTTTTTCTAAAATCTATACACCTAGAAATCTGGCTATTTTATCGTTTTTTTGCTTTTATCTTTACACCACTTTCGCTAGTAATACTGCAATCTTTGTCTTCTTGACTTAAAGCTCCATTTATTACAATAAGCTCTAATTTCTTTTTGTTTATCTTAATATTGTTTAGTTTATAGAATTCATTAGCCTTTTTTAGAATTTCTGACAACTTTGCCTTGGATTTTGCAATCCACGTTGTGTTATTAGTGTAAGAGTAGTGTTATTTATCACCTAATTTTTTTTTATCAGAGGTTTACTCCTCTCTAGTTTTTAATATATAAATTATCAAGTCTTATATATAAAATTTCAATATTTTTGACCTCCCCCTAAAAAATTATCTGATAATTGTTAGCTCTCTAAGCTACAATAGCTTGTTTATGTTTTATTCATGTGTTCTATCCTTTTCTAAGATCTGTAGGTTATGATACTACTACTTCATACCCCAATCTTTAATTATTTGCATTTCATACAAAAGCAAATTGTAAAAAATATACTATATCAGCAAGTACAACACTTTTCTCTAATTTATCTCATCTTTTGCTTTAATTACTCTAGTACTCTCATATGCTGTTATCACTTCTAATTCTCTGTATTTATACAGACTGATAATGTAATTCTGTATATTCGTTGGCATTTTAATTCTTTTAAAAGCCAACTCTAGCAATGTCATACTTACAGAGTCAAATACCTTTTGCATATCCTGTAATAGGATTCACAGCTCTTGTTTTTTTTTGTGCTTCTTTCACAATACTACTCAAAATGTATATAGAGTCTTCTGTAGCATAGCAAACATTTGTTTTAATTGGTTAACAAAATATAAACAAGTAAACAATATGCATAATATAGATCATTAGATTATTTTAAATTTCTTCTCTAATTGTTTAAATAATACAATAGTCAAATACTTAAAAGTATTTTATATTTTTGCCAACCAATTTTTTAAGCTAGAATATTATAATGTATAATAAATATAGTTCAATTAACCTTATAAAAAATATAATTAACTGCAAAATTGCTAAATTAGTTAAGAAAGCTTGAAAGTAATAACTTTGTAACAATAAACCAAATTACAAATACCCAAACTTTCTTAGATATGAAAAAGTTATTGATACTAGCTTTATATTGTTTATATTGTCTAAAAAATTTATACAATTATTTCTTTTTAAACTATAATAAATAGGCTTTACTTTAATTGCTTATAGTTTATATTTAAGTTAGTTTATTATGTATTATCTAAGATTACTACTATAATTTTTTTTTACTATATTTGAACTTAATTATCAAATATATAAAATAATAGATGTTAATATTTTTTAATCAAATCGGTTATTAAAATTATATGAGATATTAAAATAAAAAATTACAAAACAAAAA